AGGAACCAGACAAGATGAGGGGCTGAAACTTTGTAAGGATATTCCCTACGTATGTGTGAGCTAAAGATTTCAAGTTCAGCCCCCAGCGATGCGTGGTACTCACGTAAGGGCGGGAGGAGGAGTGAAGCTTCCGAAGTAATAGCGAACGGGGAGGGGGAAGAAAAATCGTCCAGACTCCCCCCTTCCCCGCTCCGCTAAGAAACTGCCCTGGATCCGCCTATGTCCACGTTAATTTTGCGGTATCGCTATTTATACTGCCTCGCGGAGTCCGCCTTCTTTATCGTTTATTTTTGAATATTTATATTTCTTCTTGTTTGTAGGATTATTTCAATTGTATGTTGGGCACACAGCTGTTGTATAAGTTTGAACGACCACAATACGCCGATCTTGTGGCCTCATTAAAGGATACTGAAAAACAACAGGTATTTTTTTGTAAGAAAAATCGAGTAGAACAGATTATTCTTAGGAAAATCCTGTGTACTGGGTCCAGTTGATTCATGGCGGATTTGTGCCGGACATTTATGAAATGAATTTAAAAATTTCGAAGAACTTTGATGGGAATCAAAAAGAAGTCCTTAAAATCAGCCCTCTCATCCGTACTCCTTGATATCCCAGATGCGATGGATACAAATTTTTGGGCAGTATCTGTTGCGTAGAGGTGCATTTTCACTTTTTCTGAAAAAATGCGTATAGATCCGGAAGCGATAGTAAATTAGGAATTCTTCCTAAACTGTGGATCATCTATGTTTTGGGTTGTTTAAAAGTTTTCCCTTGATTTTTTTTTTTGTAGGAAGGAGCGAAGGATTCAAAGAAAAAACGCGAAACTGGTGAACCTGAGCCGAAAAGAAAGCGTGAAGCGGATGAAGTTGAGACAAAGAAGAAGCCGGAGGAAGGTGAGCCGAAGAAAAAGAAGAAACGTACATCAGAGGAAGGTGAAGGTAAGTGTAGCTATTGTATCACAAAACGTTTTTATGCATGAAAATGGGTCGAGCTGGTTTTATTAAACTAATATCCATGGTACCGGTCATTTGTTCAAATTTTTTTGCATTTTAGTAACTCATACTTTTCCTGAGAAACTTTGTTTAGCTTTAAAATATCAAAATTGGTAAGCAGGTTGCAGCATCCAGAATTGACCCTGAAAGTGCAGATGGCGAAGGTGCAAAGGA